ACAGCTGATAAACATCTGATAGTGATAATCAAAGACGTGAAACAAAATACTTAGGGCTGTAAGGCAACTGTATATTCGCAAATATGAAAGAATTCATAGACTTGCTGTATTAAATGATGTATTATAAAACTCATAGAATAGAGCCCGACATGTAATGACCATATAGCAAATATTAACTTAGTAGTAATTGTTTTGCTATATGTTATTAGTAGTGTTAATATCGGAGTTATTAAAATAAAGAAAAAAGTAAAAAGATATTTTCATCACGAATAAATTTGAAGTGTGCTGGTTTTTTTTCTTGGAAAATATAAATGACCAGAATAGAATGAGAACATTTGAGTAGCTTGATAATTAAGGTGGGAAAAAAATGAAAAAAAAAAAAAAAACCCTCAAAATTTAAGAAATAACCCATTAAAGATGTTAATCTCAGACATTTTCATGAGCAAGTTCTTTTCTATCTTCTTAAATTTTTGATGTTTATTATGAAATGTAACTTTACGTTAAACAGAGAGTCACCAAGCAAAGTCACAAAACTACCACTCTGTTGAAAATAGACCATGTGACCCTACCCGATCGCAGTGTTCTCTCTTCCCTTCAGAGGTAACCACTATCCTGACCTTTATAGTAATAGCTCTCTGACTTCCCTGTTTTATTTTATTATAACAGGTTGTTAATAAAATAAAACTAGAGGCCGGGCGCGGTGGCTCAAGCCTGTAATCCCAGCACTTTGGGAGGCCGAGGCGGGTGGATCACGAGGTCAAGAGATCGAGACCATCCCGGTCAACATGGTGAAACCCCATCTCTACTCAAAATACAAAAAACTAGCTGGGCACGGTGGCGCATGCCTGTAATCCCAGCTACTCAGGAGGCTGAGGCAGGAGAATTGCCTGAACCCAGGAGGCGGAGGTTGCGGTGAGCCGAGATCGCGCCATTGCACTCCAGCCTGGGTCACAAGAGCGAAACTCCGTCTCAAAAAAATAAATAAATTAAATAAAATAAAACTAGAGTGTGTTAATAACACTCTAGTTTTGCCTATTTTTGTATGTTGTGTAAATGGAATCACACATTATGTCTCAAGAATGAGGAAAGTATGCTTCTTGTGATTGCTGCTCCTGGAATAAAACTGTCAAATGTTAAGTTCTCTCAGGAAAAATATATAAAACTTTATTTAGAGATACTGAATAGTACCTAAATAAGTGGAGAAATGTTCCATGTTTGTGGATTAGAAGAGTCAGTATTATAAAGATAACAAAGGGAGAGCTCTCAGCATTTTACCATTAAGTGCAGTATTTTCCTAACCATTCAGAAGATACCCTTTAAGAGATTGAGGAATTTTTCTACTAAGTGTGCTAAAAGTTTTTTTCTACTAAAAGTGTGCTAAAAGTTTGGTTTTTTTTTAACATGAATGGATATTGAGTTTCATTAAAAACTTTCTGCATTCATTGAGATAATTCTATGATTTTTTTCTTTTATTAATATGGAAAATTAACATTCATAAGTTTTGTATTTTTGGAATAAACTTGTGTTTTCGCTATAGGCTGGCTTTGTTAATAGTTTCTTTAGGATTTTTTCATCTATGGTTATAGGTAAGATTTACTTGGAATTTTTCTTTCTCCTAATATTCTTGTTGCATTTTGTTGTTACAAGGTTATCCTGGTCTGGTAAAATGGGTTGAGGAGCATTTCCTTTTTATTTTTTTCTCTGGAAGAATTTATGTTGAATTGGAATTTTTTATTCTTTGAACATTCATGAAGTTAATATTTCTAGTGAGTGAGTTTGAAAATAAATAAGTAAATTATATATTAAGATAGTGGCAAGCGCTGAGGAGACAAAACAAAAGCAATGAAGGAGTTATGAAATGTTTGGGTGAAATGTTGAACTTTTAGATTGGTTGGCCAGAGTCTCACTGAGAAGATGATTACCAGTGCACAGTAGGTGGAAAAGCACTCCAGTCACAGGCTGGACAAATGCAAAGGCCTTAAGGCTGGAGAAGCAGCAAAACATCTTCAGGACTGGAGTAGACAGAACCAAGGGGAGAGAGGATGAAGTCAGAAGTTAGAGGGAGGGCAAGGGCCAGATAATTTAGAACTGTCAGGTCATAGTAAAAATTTTGGCTTTTTTTCTTGAGATAGGAGGCCATTGGAGGTTTTCAAACAAAGGAAGGACTCTTATTAACCTCTTAACAGTGTCACCGTGCAGGCTTGTTGAGGATAGATTTCTAGGAGAATTGTGGCAGGAGAAAGTCACCTAGTTAGGAGACCATTATGATAATCCATACTGGAATGATGGACCAGGATTGCAGTTGTAGGGGGGGCAAAAGGTGGTCAAGGTGTGGATAAATTTCATCAGAAGAGGTGGAAATGAAGTTGGAAATCAAAAGTGGCTTGAAAGTTTTTGCCCAGAGTGACTAGAAGAAGGTATGCAGAAAGCATTAACTGAGGTGGGGAAGACGTCAGGATGAGCCCTTTCCAGAGAGGGAATATCGGGATTTTGGTTTTGAATATGTTTTAGATGTACAGACGTAAAATCAACCATCTTAGATATTGGTCTGGAATAGGGAGAGAACCAGCCTGGAAGTAAAAATGTAGGAGTCATTCCATGGCCTGGAGAAAATATTGGTGTTTTGAGTATAGATTTAAAAAAGAACAGGTGCGAGGACTGAACCATGAGATGTGGAAACCAGGCGTTATCAGTGGTGCTACATGCTCCGATTAGGTGAAGTAAGTTAGGATTGAACAAGGACCATTACGTTTAGCAACATTGGGGTCATTTGATCTTAAAATTCGAAGAATAAATATTTGAGAAAAGCCCAGAAAATGTGAAAAATTGTAACTGAGACTTACTTGATATCAGAATGTACTATGTATACCTTCTATAATTAAATCAGTGCTGAATTGGTATGGGAATGGACTGAGTCCACAATTGAAAACTCAGAATGTTACGTCAATGTATGTATATACTCTTCAGGAGCAGAAGGTTGAGTATTTAATGAACGGGGCTAGCACAACTGGGTATTCATTTGTAGGAAAATAAAATGAATTCTGCAATATGAAACACTTAAATATAAGAATAAAGTAATAACCATTACACAAAAAACAGGAAGCCACATATACGATGTCTGGATAAATGTTGTACCTCATACCTAAACATAGAAAGCAGCTCTTACAGATTGACAAAACAACAAAGGCGTTAATAGGAAAAAATGAGTAAGAGAAGTGAACAAGCAGTACAGAAGAGCAGATTAATTGGCCAATAGACCTAAGAAAAATGCTTAAGTTTATTAGTAGTCAGGGAAATGAATCAATGAATATTGATCGTTGGCAGAAAAAAAAGTGAAAAAAAAAAAACCCTTCTATTGCTAATAGAGGTGTGTGGGAAAAAGGATTCTATTACCTTAGAGGTATGATATTTTTCCCCCATAATATTGCTAATGTGATGGCACAAGTGGTTTCCATTCAGTGAGAAACATGTTGTAATAGAAACTTTGGTTTATTTGCACTTGGGATACTATTGTGTGGCCTAGCCCTTAGTAGCGCTGTGGTTTTAGACCACTCACATAAATTCTTGAAGCCCCTCATTTTCCTCATTGTGAGGTGGAGATAACCAGCCCTAGCTGACTACTTTCCTCTGGGGTTGAATAACAGATCATGTGATGCCAGGTCTTTGGAAATGATATAATGTGATTTAGAGAATATTAGGATAGGCCATGAGCTTTTCAATACCAGAGTCCAAGAATAAATTACATAAGCATGTATATAGAAAGAAAATCTACTGAACGTAACTTGCAGTAAAGAAGAGCCTTGTAAAGAAGGCTTGATGTCTTAGTTGCTTTCATTATTGGGTCGCAGTTTTCTAAGCACAGAACAGCAGAACTTAATGCAGTGCCGATGTTCTCTGATCTATCTGCTTTCCAATACTAGTCACATGTAGTCGTTCAACACTTAGCATGTGTTAGTGCAGCAGAGGAACTGAATTTTTAAGTTTTATCGAATTTTAATTTAACTATCAATTTTAAGGGCTACAGTACCATATTGGACAGGAAACCTAGGCTGCACACACTTAATAAATCATAATTTGAGGCAGCTTACAACCAGATGCCAAAAAATTACAATCAGGGGTATGTGGAATTTATATTTTCCAAGACTAAAATGGATACTTTTAAAATGTTGTTTGATGAACCCAAGATCCGAATGAGGAAACTACTGATAAAAGATACTCAATTTGCAGGAGGAATTTATTCAAAGACTCTAGAAGTTGAATTCAGACTTCTCAGCCAGAAGTCCAGACATGCTGGCCTAGGTGCCTTCCCAGATCAGCTTTTGCTTTCTCCGTAGATTCCTTGCTGCCCCGTGCAGTGTTCTTCATTCGTCTCAGGTTGTAGCCCTGGCTCCTCTCTTTTCTCTGTTTTGATTCCCTGCTATGAGCTTCAGTTTATTCTTCTACAAAATGGATCAAATATCTATCTACAAGGACCTTTCCTCTTCTAACATTCTAGCAACTTTAAGGAGCCAGTTGATTTTTCATGGACTGCATCTCAGGGGTGTTGCTTGTGTGGTGATTTAGGGATCGAGATGAGAAGGGGTTCTGTAGCCAGCAGTCTCATCCTGCACATGAAAGTGTCTTTCAATAGCATCAATCAGTGGGTGGCCTTTTTGAGGTCTGGTGTGCCCTGACCTTTGCCTACTTGCTGTGAGATATTTTCCAGTTGAAGATTCCATATTCAACTTTGTATATACATTTATATTTATTTTATCAACAAGACAAACCATTTAAGGCTAAATATTTTTAAAAGCTACTTTGCAAGCTCACGTTGTGTAGCTGCTATAGGCTTACTTTTCTTCTCATAGTTTGTTTCTACTGCGCTTTATTTAAGATAGTTGGAAACCTGTTAGTTCAGAAGAAAACTAAGAGCTTACTGTGTTACAAAGAGCAAAGACATTTGATTGTTGATATACATCTTCCTGAAGTTTTACACACCTTTTTTTCTTTTTTCTTTTTAGAGTCCTGTGAAGATAAATCAGATTAGCTTGGATGAAAGTGGAGAGCACATGGGTGTGTGTTCCGAGGATGGCAAGGTATGGCAAGGATGTGGTCACGCTGAAAGTTCTGCTCTGGTGCCAGCCCCAGGTGATCAGAACAGCACCTTAATTACTGTATTACCTGCATTAAGACAACCTTGATTATTCTGAGTATTGAACTTGCTTCTGATTGGTCATAATTAAAGTAAAATATATTTTGCACAAATGTGCCTTAGGAAAAGTAATTACAAGAATGTCAATAATGTAACTAGTATTAAGCTGATTAACAGCTGTGGCAGGGTGACGTGTCACCTTAATCATTACTACTGTGCCACTTCCACTTCAGTGACTAGTCTGCAGTTCCTGCAAGACAGTAGTTTAATGCTTTTTTGCCGTAAATCCACAAAATTGGATTTTGTGGGCTTGATTTCTGTGGGCCAGTGGTTTTCATTTTCACACACAAGTTATGAATGTTTCTCCTGAATTATAGAATCTTTTGATAAGCAATCATAGTTTATCGGAAGAATAAAGTGTCCTACAATGGCCACATTAAATAAATGTAAAATCAATATATGTACAGTTTTCTAAAAACCCGGCACCTACGTCCTCAACCAGGGACATACATCATTTGCGTGGTATATAACTAACAGTTATCAGTGCCTCCTGCCGATATTGAGCTGTGACATTTAATGGTTGTGGTGATTGATTTTCCACTTGTAAGAATGTCTTTTTTGTTTTTAAGTCAGTGGAAATCTTTTCTAATGTTGGTTTGCAGTGATAAAATTCTAATGCACAGTGTATTTAAGCTACTTTTCTAAAATAACAGTTTGAGAGAGTACATGAAGAATCATTATAGATCTTTACATACTCCTTAGTGAGTAAAGCAGATTTCCTAATCCAATTTTGTATTTTTTATGTGCCCTAATTCAGCGGCCATTAACATGGATAAATTAAAAGCAGTATACTCAGTGTAAAAGAAATATACCCATTTAATGTGTTAACAAAAAGCATCATGAAGTCTCTTGACATACAAGAATGCATTTTATATATTAAGCCTAATGTTTCCCAAAGAGTCTTCTGAAGCAGTAATTGGAACACTAGTGCTTTTCAGAAAGCACTGCCAGATTTTATGGTACTTTCAGAAATTCTGAGATTGTCATGATTATCAGAGAGAGATGAGGGAGGAGTTGGTTTGTGCAGAAATTGAGAAGAATTATCCACACCGCCAAAGCATTTTTTGTGTTCATGTATTTGTAAAGAAAGATAATCTTCATTTTGTTTTCTTAAAGGTGCGGAATTTCTTTTGGGCTAATATCAATTTAATGGAATTAATTTGTTGCAAGGTAGTACTCATTTTTTAAAAAATTGGAAATGAATTTTTACTAAGTACATCATCTAGGAATATTTAGAGCTTTAAATGTTGAAGAATTATTATTTAATGCACCAAGTGGAATATTACAGCTATTCCATCTGGTGGCTAAGATGAACCTCAGAAACCTCATGTACCCTTCTTGTCAAACATCTTTGGTCTCCTAATTGGGTAAAACTTGTAGCTGCCATATTTTGGTGTGGAGCCATGATTTATTTTGAGAAATGGTTTTCCTGTATTTTTATTAACATTGACAGAATTGAAAATAAATCTCTTAGTACACATACTTATATGTGAGCTCCCCCTTACTGTGGTTAGTCAGCGTTGTGAAAGTTGAGAAGCTAGTGTAGAATGACCTGGTACAGTGGTTAGTGATGATAAAAACATAACGATATTACAAAAGCAAATTCCAGATACCTAAATCCAATGCATCTTCAAATAGGTTTTGTGGGTATTTTTCCTTTCTTCAGTGTGTTAAGACTCCTAGATAAACAATTATTTCTTAGGTTATTTCAAGGGTAACCTTTGATATTTGCATTCAGTTTTCAAGTCATGACTCCAGCATTCGTTTAAAATTTATTCCTTTTATTCAGCTGGTGCTCATTTTCCGTCTTTTTTTGCCATGACTTTTCTACACCAGAGTTTTCTACATTTTGAGACATACACATCAATCGTGTGTGTGTGTGTGTGTGTGTGTATTCAGTTTCAGTTTACTAGCATATGTTTTTAGAAAACTTTTAGGATAAGTACATACAAGGTTTATTTTGGGATCTCTTGCATATGTTGCTTTCATATGTAAACTATAATTTAGTACAAAATTCTGGGTTGGAATATTTTCTCTCACAAGTTTGGAGATGTTGCTCCCTTTTTTTCTGACATTCATTTTTGTAGACATGTCTGAAGCCAGCCTACTTTTATTCTTTTCTAAAACCTTTGCAATCTGTTTTGGTCCTGCCTTGGAGCTTGGACTAATAATAATTACAACAAGAACAGCAACAGTAATACATGGTCTGTGTAACGCCGTTTGCTAAGTTATGTCTAGTTGTGGTCTCTTCATGAATGTTGTCTGGAGCGTAGTCCTTCTGATCCATATACTGAAGTATTGTTTTTATTTCGGAAAAGTTCGGTTATAATTTTGATGATTGTCTCAGTTGCATTTGTTTTCATTTCTTAAAAGAAATGCAGTAATATAAAGCTGAAGGCAATATCACCTAGAGGCTAAGAGCATAGCTCTGTATTCCAGCTGCCTGGGCTGGCATTCCCACTCGCTGTTTAAAGTTGGGCATGTTGCTGGGCCAGGAAGTGCCTCCCTCTCTTCAACTTGGCAGCAGGAGGCCCCTGAAGAGTGTTGTGAGGTGCAGGGTATGGTGAGCTGTCAGTTATGTATTAATTGCTTTTATTGCTAACCATTCATTTTTAATCCATTGCAGTCTGGCCTCTTCTGTCTCCCATTCTTGTACCTGAACTTTCCAAAGCAAGAAAGTGAATGGTTATTTACCCTTCTCCTCCTTTTGGCAGTACATAGGTTGTATGGAAAATTGTTCATTCATATCGTGGGACGTCTCACACATATACTTTGCTTTCTCATTTTTAGCCTTATATTTCTGTGTAGTCAGGGAGAGTTCTCTATTTGCTTATTCCTTTTGCTGGTTCGCTTTTCTTCCAAAGTGAGTTTTGTGTCTTACTACTTCTTGGATTACATTTTTATTCCATTTTGCATTTTTAATTTTTCTGAAATCTTTCCCAATTCTGTTTTTATATCAGCCTGATATATATATAATCTTTTAAAAATCACAACTTGTTATATGCCACAGAGTGTCAGGTGGTGTTGTCTAGTGGTTGGCAGTGGAATTGTCCTGTCACTTTTTAGCTGCGTGATGTCTGGTAAGTTATTTATACCTCTCTGTGCCTCAGTCCATTTCTTCCCCTGTAACATGAGGATAATAACAGTACCCACCTAATTATTAGGAGGATGAAATGAGTTAATGTATGTAAATTGCTTGGAATAGAACCTAGAACAGAAGAATCACTTAGTAATTGTGAGCCATTATTATAGTCATTGTTGTCATCTTCCTATTTTTCTGCTCCAGGTTTATGGAGGTCTGGTCTTCTTATTGTGGTTGCCAAACAGTTTTCTAGTTTTTTTTGGTTTCTGGTTAATATTAAGATATTTCGTAAAGCATAGTTTTTCTTCCACTGAGTCTTTGGAATGTTCTGCAGGACTTTTAAAATAGACCTTTCCTATGGTTTTGTTTGATTGTTTATCCATTCCAGAGCAGGGAAATCTCTTTCTGAACCTGGGTTAGCAAACAGACTGTCTATCTTGCCCTTGCTATTACTTTGGGTGTTTTAGAATCACCTTCTTAGTTGAGTTCAGTTTCCTGTAACTAGATAAAGGCAGCTTTCTGGGGAACTAGAAACTTCTGTCATCATTCTCTGGTCTCTGATAGTCAGCCTGTGTGGAGAATATGAAAAGCAGCAATCTTGACTACCAGAGTCCCTTAAGCTACCAGTGGAGGTATAACGACAGTTTACATGATTACCCTGTTGTGATTTTTAATGTGTTGTTTGGAAGTGGAAGTTTGAGAGAGGCTGTTACAAGGGAAGTCTAATTGAGAAGGTCCTATAGCACTCTGGCCACCTCTGTCATAGTCTCTCTGCATCAGGGCGGTTGCCCAGTATTCTGGTTGGCAAATACATGGAGTTTCATGCTAAAGTGCAGAATAATTACATGCTTTCCTGCTTCATGAGGGTAGGTTTTCTCTGTTTTGGGTAATAAAACACGTACCACATACTTCTAAGGCACTCACATGGCTCTCTGGTTCGTAGCTAATGAGAACTCCCTGAGGACTTTGCAGGAGATTGACTCTATGGCCAAGTGTTATGAATTTTCTCTTTTTCTTCATTAGGTATTTTGTTAGCAGGTTCAGGGAAGTCGTTAGGGCCACTACAGGAGATAGCATTTTCAAAAGGGTCCTCTCTTGTAACCTTTAATTATGTGTTTTTTTTCTTTTTTTTGAGAAAGAATCCTGTACTGTCGCCCAGGTTGTAGTGCAGTGGTGCAGTCTTGGCACACTGCAGTCTCCACCTCGTGGATTCAAGCAAATTATGTGTTTCTTATCTCAGATAAGCTCTTCCCAAAAGCCAAGGGATTCCCTTCACAGATAAATGTGATTTTCACTGACAAAATGGCAAAATGAAGAAAGAGGGGAAGTAAATGAGAATTGTTTTGGATATTAGCCTTAGCAGTATAACGTGACCAGCTAGTTTGGCATGTCACCGTAGTGAAATGAACCGAAACATTGAAGGTTTTACATATTACCCTTGTGCTAATACTGATAAAGCTTATGAGATTTGTCTCGTGAAATTACGTTTTCCATGTTGAAATGGAATATAAGAACAGTTGAGGAAAATATTGCTCAGACAAACGTAGTAATAGAAACTGACCAGAGAGTTCTGTTCTTGATTTGTCACCTTCAGCAGTTACTCCTCTAGCCCCTACTGTGGGTATGATAGTGACATATTTTCTTCTGGAGAATTCTCAAGGATAATGATGTGAATTGGTGTTTGTTTACTACAAACTTGTTTGATATGTTCTCTTTTTTGTTTCTTCCTCTTTATTACTATATTATGCCTTCAATATGCATTTTTAATTTTTTTTTTTTTTTTTTTTTTGAGATGGAGTTTTGCTCTTGTTGCCCAGGCTGGAGTACAATGGTGCATTCTTGGCTCACTGCAACCTCCACCTCCTGGATTCAAGCAATTCTCCTGCCTCAGCCTCCTGAGTAGCTGGGATTACAGGCGCGCGCCACCATGCCCAGCTAATTTTTGTATTTTGAGTAGAGACGGGGTTTCACCATGTTGACCAGGATGGTCTCGATCTCTTGACCTGGTGATCCACCCGCCTGGGCCTCCCACAGTGCTGGGATTATAGACGTGAGCCACCGCGCCCAGCCTGCATTTTTAATTATTAAAGGGATATTTATTTATCCATGGCAATTCCTAACTGTCAGCATTACATCCACAGTCCCTGTGTTGATCCACTCATTTACTGATCTGCCAGTCTTTTTCAACAGGCTTATGCATTATTTGTTTACATCTTAGATATTTTTCTGCATAATAGAAATAACTTTTTTCTAAAAATCACCTTTATCCCATCTATAAGGCAGAAGGATGTTTATCCATTTCAGTGAATAGTCAGCTTCATTTAATTTCAATTTCTATCATAAAGTGTCCTTAATTCAGAGTCTGATATTCATATTTTTTTTCAGTTTGGCAAACATTTAAGGCTTTTGAATTTTTTTTATTGTTATTCTATTTTACTCTTCTTACACTTTATGTAAAAAGATATATTTCTTTTTTGCAAATTTCAGTTGATACTATATAAAGATAACATAGAAAAATAGGATTTAGAACATCCAGATTCTGGTTCTAACTCTTCTGCTTATGATTTTCATGACCTGAGACAAGTCATTTTTCTACAGAATTATCTGTTCAACAGGCGTAATGGTGTTTGCTCTCAGACCGAGCAGTGTTGCTATATGAACCAAATGAGGAACAGCAGAACACTGTCAATTGTGCAGACCTTCAAAAACATCATTTCACCTTAACAGAAAGTTTGACTTTGTTTGTTTGGGATGGGATTTGGCCATTAGTATCCAGGTATTTTAACTGTGCAGGCATGTTTGAGAACCACTGAGGTAAAGCATGTTGAAGCATGTAGGGATGTAAGTAGGTAGTAGGAATCTGAGACTTAGTACAAGACCATGCTGCTCATGACTTTATTGTACTGAAAAGAGATCGATTGTGTTAGGAGAAGTTCAGCTTGCTTGTTAAGCAGGTGTTCTACTGAGGTAGCTTCACCAAGGTGGGCACTTGTTGATTCACTCTATTAAGATTCACGTGATTTAGGAGCTTTCTTCCTTTCATCTGGTTTTCTTAGATTTGTTGGGGTACATCAAGTTAAACTTGCCCAGATAAAGTGAAACCCTGAATACAGTGTTTTCCTTTTCTGCTTTTTAGCCATTATTTTATTTATTTATTTATTTATTTATTTTTTGAGGTGGAGTTTCGCTCTTGTTACCCAGACTGGAGTGCAATGGCCTGATCTCAGCTCACCGCAACCTCTGCCTCCTGGGTTCAAGCAATTCTCCTGCCTCAGCCTCCTGAGTAGCTGGGACTACAGGCACGTGCCACCATGCCCAGCTAATTTTTTGTATTTTTAATAGAGACGGGGTTTCACCATGTTGACCAGGATGGTCTCGATCTCTTGACCTCGTGATCCACCCGCCTCAGCCTCCCAAAGCTGGGATTACAGGCATGAGCCACCGCACCCAGCCGCCATTATTTTATTAAGATGTTCATTGTATTATTCTGTGATGTATATTTTCGTAAAAGTAATGACTTTATACCCTCTGAACAATGAGAAGCAAGGTGATGGGGGGCATATGTGTATTTGCCATGTCAAGAATGCTTCAAGAGCCAACCAGAGGGAAAACGAAATTCGCTCTGTTTTACATTATATCATCTCCTGTTTGTGGAACCCAAATAACAAACTTGGCACAAGTATATGAAAGCAATAGTTACAAAATGAATGGAGTATCCCAAAAACTTTAACTTTTAATGCATTAATCTGTCTCCAAAAATTATGACATAAGTGAATTCCATGCTTGGGACTTGAAAGAATGAACCACTCTGAACTTGCCAAGATTAAAATAAGAAGAAATGGAAAGTTTGAGTAGTCCTATATCCATTTTTCAAATAGAATTTATAATTAGAAACCTTTTCACAAAGAAGCTGTCTTAGTCCATTTGTGCTGCCATAACAAAATACCTTAGACTGGATAGTTTATACACAACATAAGTTTACATCTCACAGTTCTTGAGGCTGGGAAGTCTAATAACAAGGTGCCAGCATTCGGCATCTGGTGAGGGCTGCCCTCCCTGCTTCCAAGATGGCACCTTGTTATTGTGACTTCACCTGGTGGAAGGGATGAATGATGTGTCCTAGTGTGGCAGAGGCAGAAGAACAAAAGGGCTAGCTAGTTACCTCAAGCTTGCTTATAAGGGCACTAATCTCACCCATGAGGGTCCCACCCTCATAACTTAATCATCCACTAAAGGCCCTACTTCTTAATACCATCACCTTGGAAGTTAGGTTTCAACACAGTGAATCTGGGGAGAACACATACATTCAGACCATAGCAAAGCTATAAGACCTAGATGCCTTCACCAGTGAATTCCTACAAAAGTTAAAGAAGAAATAATACCACTATACTAGAGATTGGAAAGACAGTGAATACATTCCACTGTTAGGAAATAGTTGTCATTGGCTCTAGTACTATTTGTTAGCTCCAAGCATTTGAGATCTCATGGAATTCTCATGCTGAGAGTGTAAATAACCATCACCCTGGAGGTCAGGTTTCAACATAATCAATTTAGGGGAACACAAGCATTCAAACATTGTCATGGTGAGAGTGTAATTAATTTAAAACCACTTTGGGAAATGGTTTGCCTATTAAATGTGAACATGCGTAGAACCTGTGACCCAGCAATTCTATTCCTAGTTACATACCTTTCAGAAATACGTATATAAGTGCATCAAAAGAGTCATAAAGAGTGTTTTTAGCAGCATTATTCGTGATAGCCTCAATCTGGAAACAATCTAAGTGGTCATCAATGGAAGATAGAGATGTGAATTGTGATGTATTCACACGTTGAAATAATACATAGCAATGGCAAAGAACCAACATCTACTGTATGCAGCAAGTGTGACTAAATCTCACAAAGAAAATGCTAAATAGTGAATGAAATAAATGAGTGAAATAGAATATGATTCCTTGCTTATAAAATTCTAACGCCAGCACAACTTACCCATGGCAATAGCTTTGAGGCTAGTGATTAGTTGGAGGGTGTTACTTACTGGAAAGGAAAACAGCGGAGCTTATTGGGTTCTATTTCTTGATCAGAGATGGTTACAGGGATATGTTTGTGTCATAAAAATTTGTCAAGCTATGAATTTATTATTTGTATTCTTTATAGCATGTTTTATATTTCAGTTTTATTTTTGTTTTGTTGTTTTTAAGTAAAGCACTCAGAAAATATACTGCGTGTGAATAAAGTAGCCTGGAACAACTTTAAGGGAGACACTGATAAGCAGGAACTGAAATCTTTCATTTCTGCGTTCTCAGTAGATTCAGCGTAAGGTTGTGAATGAAGTGCCGTGCACCTAATCTCTCACCATGTTGATCTGCGTGGTTGGATTATATTATAGATATGAGAGACTAAAAAAAGCTTCTGTTTCCTTTAAGGGATGAAAAAATAGTTCTTTTAGGGATAGCTTATGGAAGTTTATAAAAGAATATTAATAACTTGTTCATGTCTGTTTCATTGTTTTAATGGCCTACATTTAATAAAATTTGTGGTTATTGAAGGGAACGCTATCCATGGAATGCTTATGAAAGCTTAATCGCAGCAAAGTACCTTCACCCGGATGGGATTTGTTTTTTGTTTTTGTTTTTTTTGTGACCGAGTCTCATTCTGTCGCCCAGGCTGGAATACAGTGGTGCTGTCTTGGCTCACTACAACCTCCACTTCCCGGGTTCAAGCAGTTCTCCTGTCTCAGCCTCCTGAGTAGCGGGGACTATAGGCACATGCCACCACGCCTGGGTAATTTTCATATTTTTAGTAGAGATAGGGTTTTACCATATGAGGCTGGTCTCAAACTCCTGGCCTTAGGTGACCCACACACCTCGGCCTCCCAAAGTGCTGGGGTTACAGGCGTGAGCCACCACACCCGGTCAATGGGATTCTTTTCATTAGATATTTAATAGAGGTCATAGGGCCTTAGAATTATGAACTGTTCTGCTTTTCTTATTGATAGTCTGTGTTCCTACTGACTCAGTAGCCTTCTCTGTTGCTATCATGATGAGCTGATGCAATTCATTTTCTTTCTAGGTGCAGGTATTTGGACTGTATTCTGGAGAAGAATTTCACGAGACTTTTGACTGTCCCATTAAAGTACGTATTCAGCAAGTTTTACTTTTTCTAAGAGTTGTCTCAAGTAAGGCAATAAGGATTACAGTAATTTGAACATTACCACTTCTGTATTAATTTTGTATCTATTCAACACTTCATATATACTGGATACTATTTAGATGCTGTGAAAGAAGATAGAATGTATACTTTGTGACTGGGATCTCAGTCTGTCTTCAGGGGCCTTTTATTATAGTGAGTTAGATCACACACACACACACACACACACACACAGTCTGTGATGAAAGACTCAAAGAGGTAGAAACAATATTAAGCTTTCCAAAGCTGAAAGGAATCACTTGTATCTGTTCTTGTCAGTGATGGCTTCACTGGTGGAGTGATGTTTAACTTGGCTTTAATAAATGGACAGGGACTGATGGAGAAGCCGGCTCTCCATGTGGAGGAATAACGTAATAGAAATGGAGAGGCTAGAAAGTTCAACCTGTGTTCAGAAAATGGTAAATAGTCTAGTTTATTTGGCGCATAAAAGACTGATCTCACAAGAGAATGTGGGGGAAGATTGGGCTGGCTTTACATTCAGGCTAAAGAATTTGAACTCCATTTGGTAGATAAGGAGAAATTACTGAATATTTATAAACCAAGGTAAATAAACTGAGCTAAGTTTTAAGAAAATTGGCCGGGCATGGTGGCTCACACCTGTAATCCCAGCACTTTGGGAGGCCGAGGCGGGTGGATCACGAGGTCAAGAGATCGACACCATCCTGGTCAACATGGTGAAACCCCGTCTCTACAAAAAATACAAAAAATTAGCTGGGCATGGTGGTGCGTGCCTGTAATCTCAGCTACTCAGGAGGCTGAGGCAGGAGAATTGCCTGAACCCAGGAGGCGGAGGTTGCGATGAGTTGAGATTGCGCCATTGCACTCCAGCCTGGGTAACGAGCGAAACTCTCAAAAAAAAAAAAGAAAATTAATATGGTGAGTGTATACAGCATTGATTGAAGGACAGATAGACAGGTGTCAGGAGGACTAGTTTTAGATAACAGTTACGGCAGTTAAAGTGTCTGTTATAGTTGTTGAAGGAAGAAGTCATTTATTTTTTTCACTTGTTTATTCAAACATTTATTGACCAGTAGGAAAAGGAGAGACAGGGTCTAATGTATGTTTTAAAAAGTTAAATTTGCCAGAATGGAGGGAGATTTAAATTGGGGACAAGAGACAATTTAGAAGTATACTATAATACTCCAGTCAGGGCATTACAGGGTCTCAGTGGAAAGAGGGATAGGGACTGTTGAAGATGGGGTGGATGAAATGTATTTGGACAGGCTGTGCTGGATAGACTTAGCAAGCCTTAGTGATGGCTTGGATGAGGGTGATGAAAGACGGCAGAGCTCAGGGTCAGTTGAGGTTCTTGCTTTGGGGATGGGATATGGGAATGCCATCAGGTGCAGCAGGGGGATGTTTGGTCTTGACTGTAGAGAAGTGTAGTACATCAGGTGAGGTTATTATGGAGGTTTTAGAAACATGAATATGGACCTCAGGGTGGAGATTGGTCCCTAAACACAAACGTGATAACCACAGTTGAATAAGTTGAAGCCATTTTTAAAGATATTATCCAGTTCAGAGCCATAGAGTGAGAAGAGAAGACCGATGGTGAAATTCTGGAACACTAATTTGAAGACTCAGGCTGTAGAAGAAAAAAACAGCAAAGGAGTCTATAAGAGGAAGCATTTGGAGGGACGGGAAGAAATCCCAAAGAACGGAGTCAGAGAAGCCAGGGGGGAGAGAGTTTCTAGAAAGAAGTGGGCAGCAATGTCAAATGCAGTGTGGAGATTAAATAGGGGGAAGGACTGAAACAAGGGCATTCTACATGGTAATTGTGAAGTTACTGGTGACCTTACTGACGACCTTTTCAGACCAGGAGGGTCACTGTACATGAAGGAGTAACTTGGAGGTGAGGAAGTAGAAACAACCAGTAGAGACTGTTTTTTCAAGAAATTTGGTAATAAAGAGGAGAGATCATCTGGTAGAGAGAAGGGCTGTGACCAGGGAAGATTTCTGCCTATCATATTTTGGTTCGTGGCAAAAACCAGTAAAGAGAGAAGGACTAAAAATAAAAGAACGCTTCATAGAGTAGCACTAAGCAGTGAGATCAACAGCCTAGATAGGGAAGATAATCTTGGAAAAGAGTCCTAGACCGTCTGCCCGCGAAACAGGCATGAAGGAAGTGGCTGAGCCTAACTATTGCAAGTTAGGCAGTGAAGGAAGAGCACTTGTGGGCAGTGACCCCGATGGCTTTATTTTCTTACATCTGAAGGGAAGACAAAGGCAATGTCATGCGATTGAGGAGCAGAGATGTTTGGAACCAGTCCTGATCTACAGTTATGCATTACAAGAGAGCTAAGGAGAGATTTTAAGAATGTGAAGCAACAGTGTGTGAAGGCTTCAATATTGGTATCGAGGATGGATTAGGAAAGCGTTGAAGGGAAGAAGGGCTAAGCAGGGAGGTAGGAATGGTTAGAGCAACGAAGGGTCATATGCTAAGCCTTAAAAATGACATTGTAGGAAGAGGAATCTGTTCCATTGATGGAGGGAAATGTATCAATTAATACAAGTATAAAATATGTTTAATTGAAGGGTTTTTTTTAATTATTATTATTATTTTTTTGAGACAGAGTCTTGCTCTGTTGCCCAGGCTGGAGTGCTGTGGCGCGATCTGCAGCCCCCGCCGTCTGGGTTCAAGGTATTCTCCTGCCTCAGCCTCCTGAGTAGCTGGGACTACAGGTGTGCACCACCATGCCCGGCTAATTTTTGTATTTTTAGTAGAGATGGGATTTCACCATGTTGGCCAGAATGGTCTCGATCTCCTGACCTCGTGATCCACCCACCTTGGCCTCCCAAAACAGGCGTGAGCCACCATAATTGAAGGTTTATAGAAGTATCATTGTGTGGAATTTTCTGTGTGTGTTTACCTAAAAAAATATTCTCTATGTTAAATTTAAAAAACAAAATTAGTTAAGTTGGTGATTTCATGGTTGGTTGGGGGATAAAGAGGGAAGGAGCCAGAGTCTATGCAAACTTACAGCCACAACAGATGGGCCCCGAAGATGGAGGTGCACACAGTGGAGCCACAAGGGCATTTGTTCTCACCCACTCCCTGACATGTTAATGATGTCATGTAATCACAGAGCCCTTGCCAATGAAGGGAACAGTAACAAGAGGGGTGGAGCAGCCAGAAGAGAAACCTGGGTAGCAAGGGTCTGGGGAAAGACTGGATGAGTAGGAAGCAGGTGAGAACCAGGGGAAGAGGTTGTATGTAAAAAGGTAAGTCCTGAAAGGTTAGCTCTTCGGGCCTGTAGCTCTGTTCTCTCTCCATTGATGGGTTTTAGTGTAAGGGGGCTAAATGTCTGGGAGGCTGCTTTGCCACTTGGTGCCATCTGTCATTGGGAGGTATCTTGGACAAAGTATCGGTTTCTTTATCAGTTTTTTTTTTTTTTCTGTAAATTGTATCCAGTTAGAAACATCTTGCTGTCTTGACCGACCTACCTTGCTACCTCTATATAGGGGCATCCACTCATAGGGGTCCTCAACCAGAAACTGGAAATGAATTTTTCTAGTCTTTGAGCTTTGACCTGGCTTCAGAGAAGAAATCTTTTCACGTAAGAAGAAAACTCAGATGTCATTAGTTGTTGTAAAATATTATTTGAATATATTATTTCTTACCGAGATATGAGGATAAGTTTTGGATCATGCTGCTTGAACTCCATCAGGGGTTTTCATTCTGTGTTGTAGCCGTGACTCCTAAACCAGAGTTGGGTCCTGTTTCTCTTGTAGATAATTGCTGTGCACCCACATTTCGTGAGATCCAGTTGCAAGCAGTTTGTGACTGGAGGAAAGAAGGTAAGTGCTGTGTATCTCTACCTTGATATGTAACCTTAAAGGGTATTGTGTGTTTACTCTATAATTTATCCTTAATGTTTTAATGTCTGACTGTTCACTAGGAGAAATTTGAGAAAGACAAACGCAATGAAATCTTAATGTCATCATCTCTTGGGGGAGTTGTGGCTTCAAGCCTTTCTCATTACATTTCTTTTTTTTTTTTTTTTTTGAGACAGAGTCTTGCTCTGTCACCCAGGCTGGAAGTACAGTGGCATGATCTCAGCTCACTGCAGCCTCCACCTCCTGGGTTCAAGTGATTCTCCTGCATCAGCCTCCCAAATAGCTGGGAATACAGGTGCCCGCCACCATGCCCAGCGAATTTTTTTTTTTTTAAGTAGAGACAGGGTTCTGCCAGGTCTCTACTAAACACATGGCCCAGCTGGTCTCGAACTCCTTACCTCAGGTGATTGGCTCACCTCAGCCTCCCAAAGTGCTGGGATTACTGGCTTGAGCCACTGTGCCTAGCCTCTCATTACATTTCTTTGAAGATATAGCGTAAGAAAAAAAGAGAGCTGTTACATCTAGAGCTTTGAAACATTGCCCTTTCTACAAAAAAGAGGCAGTATTTAAAAATAACAAAAACTACTTAACACTTAAACTACTGATTTTTTTCCCCCCTTGTAGAAAATCTCTTGCAGGCCTTGATACACTTTTAGAAGAGTTGCAGCTGCTCTTCACTGACATGTTCATGGCGCATTTTATTACTCAGTGCCTTTTAACAAATAAGAGAGTAGACTGAACATAATGGTGGCTCACTCCTACGATTCCAACACTTTGGAAGGCCAAGATGGGAAGATCACTTGAGGCTGGGAGCTTGAAACTAGCCTGGGCAACATAGTGAGACTCTGACTCTACAAAAAAATTTATAAATTATCTGTGTGTGGTGTTGTGTTTCTAGTCCTAGCTATTCAAAGAGGCTGAGGTGGGAGGATCACTTGAACCTAGGAGTTTGAGGCTGCAGTGAGCTATGATTGTGCCACTGCACCCCAGCCTGGGTGAAAGAGTGAGACCCTGTCTCTAAAAACTGTGAAATGAAATAAGAGAAAAACTTTTATGTATTAACATTTGTTTATGGATACAGTAAATTCTCAAAGAATTCATCTGCTTATAGAATAAGTCAAATCAGGTTTTTTTTTCCTGCTTTTATTAACTAGAGTTAAAGACTATTTTTATAATAAATTCTATCACCATACTGGAACTCCAAATATTATTTACTATTCGGTTTAGAGCCAATGAAAAGGAAGTAGTCTCTAGCTATTTCTGTAGTAGTGTAGAGCTATGGAATGGCTGCTTCGAGGCCCAGCTACTGAACGCTTTCAAATGTTTCATGATACTTCTCTGTCATTTCCCTTTGGTTCAATAGTTAATAGAATGATAGGGCAGGAAAGCCTTCTAGTCATTATGTAACTTGTAATGAGTGGCAGGCCAGTAGGTTCTGATTCCATTCCATGACATAAAGCCAAGATCCGCCAGCTCTGATTTCTGCTAGAGAGCCCGTCCTTCCCCATCTCACAGCCCATTGTTATCCTTAGGCTCTAGTCGCATTCACTTTATGTAAAAATGTCCAGGGGACTAATTAGGGGGAATTACAGACCTCATTGCGCATTATCTAGCTTAGATCTCCAGTTCATTCACCCCTCAAAAGATAACTACCTTGCTTGTCTTTGTCAGCCTTAGGAAAGAGTAGCATTAGCATTACTCTCATATTTCTTCACTCAGCACTTTTTGGGTTAAGAAATTTTATGTGTGATTGTATTAGGGTTCTCTAGAGGGACAGAATTAATAGAATGTGTGTGTGTGTATATACATACACATAGTATACAATATGCACACACACACACAGTAGTTTATTAAGGAGTATTAGCTCTCAGGATCACAAGGCGAGGTCTCACAATAGGCCATCTTTGCAAGCTGTAGAGCAAGTAAGCCATTCCAAGTCCCAAAGCTGAAGAACTTCAAGTCCGGTGTTTGAGGGCAGGAAGCTCCAGTACAGGAGAAAGGTGTAGGCTCAGAGGCCAGGCAAGTCTAGTCTTTCCATGTTCTCTGCCTGCTTTTATTCTGGTCATCCTGGCAGCTGATTAGATAGTGCCCACATAGACTGAGGGTGGGTCTACCTCTCCAGTCCACTGACTCAAATGTTAATCCCCTGTGGGAACACCCTCAGACACACCGAGGAGCAATGCTTTGCATCCATCCTTCCCTTCAAGTTGACACTCATTATTAACCATCACAGTGATATAGCATAAATTCATATAGCTGTAATTTAAACCCAGGTGTTTTTATTTAAAAATAAATAATTAAAAAAAATTTTTTTTTTATTTTGAGATAGAGTCTCACTCTGTCACCCAGGCTGGAGTGCAGTGGCGTGATCTCAGCTCACTGCAACCTCTGCCTCGCCAGTTCAAGTGATTCTCCTGCCTCAGCCTCCTGAGTAGCTGGGACTACAGATGCCCACCACCACACCTGCCTAAGTTTTGTATTATTAGTAGAGATGGGGTTTCACCATGTTGGCCAGACTGGTCTCAAACTCCTGAACTTAGGTGATCTGCCCACCTTGGCCTCCCAAAGTACTGGGATTACAGGTGTGAGCCACCATGCCTGTCTGAATAAAGAATTAAATTTTATTTAATTCTCACTGGGAATGGTCAGTTTTTGTTTTAAATGACTTAAAATAACTAACATTTATTATCTCATACTTAGAAAATTCAAGAGTGGCTTAGCTGTTAGGCCCTGGCTGAAGGTTGCTCATCAGGGTACAATGGGAATATTGGTTGGAGCCGCCGATATCCGAAGGCCTGTCATCTGAAGGCTTGACTGGGGCCGGAAGGTCAGGTTCGAAGATGGCTACTGCCTTCTTAATAATCCACCATACACTTAAAATATTAATAAATCACTTTGGTTTAAATATATTCCTAGCATGTGATGAATGCACTTTTGAATTTTGGTGTCCAGTTTCAAGAGTTAGAGATTTTACATTTGTCTTCTATTTCTTGAAGGTATTAGAATAAAAGAACATACTAGAGTTAATATGAGTTTTTATGTCCATGTGCTAAGACTCAAGATCTGAAGGGACAGATTTTGCTGCATTGCTTTGTGTTCTTTAATAAAAAGTGTATTTATGCAGTTTAATAATTGCTTTTCTATTGGAAGGGATGCCTGTAGTCTCATCTGGTTTGCCACATTACTTTTGCTTCATGAATGTCTTCTCTCCCTATAGGATGTTTGGGTTAACCATCAGTAACATATTCTTCATACTTTTACTTAGTATTTGCTGTCATTTGCAGACATCCATAGAAAGGACAGTGTGCATGCAGCAGTCTGGGTCAGAGTGCGCAGAGTAGGTCCATGAGCAGTGTGGGAACAACAGAGTAATCTAGCATCTAACTGTTGGTGTGGTAGCATGGGAAGAGCTGGGAATTTATAGAGAGTTGGACATTGTGATAAGCAATAAAATAAGTAGAATTCAATAGATGCTGAACAGGCAGAACGTCAGGGTTCGGTTTGTCTCTTCGGTTGTCACTGACTGCTTGACAGGCTGTTCCATGTTCAGTGTTCTATGAGAGAATAATTTTCTTTTCCCTATCCACTTTTCCGAAAATGCATCTGTGGACATCTCTTTCCAAGCACACACAGAAAAACGTTTATGTGTTTATAAAATGAGAGTAAAATAAAAGCAGTTAAGGTCATCTGGTGAAAAATTGAATTAAAAATAATTTTATTATTAACTTAGATATTTGGGACTAAGACAATTTAAAAGGAAAAACACACAGTGAAGAGCTTAGTATATTGTATACAAGGCTTAGTATATGGGGCTTGAAAAACCACATGTATGATATTTTAAAGTGAGGAGTCTCATGATTACTCATGTCAGTGTAAGTTATTGGCATTAAGTCATCTATTTTTTAGATGTCTTAAATCAGCTTTATTGATATATCATTTGCATACCATGAGGTTCACCAGATGATAGTGTAACGTTTAATGGTTTTTGATACATTTACAGTGTTGTGCAACTGTCAACATAACCTACTTTTAGAACACTTCCTTCACCCCGAAAAGAAATCTTGTGCCCATTAGCAGCCTCCCCATCTCCCTTCCTCCCCTCCTCTCAACCCTAGGCAACCACTAATCTATTTGCTTTCTCTGTCAGTTTTCCTGTTCTGGATATTTCATCTAAATGGAATTGTGTAATATTTGGCCTTCGTGTCTAGCTTCTTTCCTTATTTTTCTAGGTACGTAGTGTTGTGGCATGTATCAGTATTTCATTCCTTTTTATGTCCAAGTAATATTTCATTGTATAGATCTGCCATGTTTTAGTCATCCATTTATCACTTGATTGACATTTGGATTGTTTCTGCTTTTTGGCTATTATAAATAATGCTGCTCTGAACATTTTTGTACCGCTTTTTGTGGCTCTGTGTTTTCATTTCTCTTGAGTATGGAATTGTTAAATCATATGTTAACTCTATGTTGGACATTTTGAAGAATTGCCAAACCGTTTCCCAATGTGATTCTACCATTTTACATTCTCATCAGAAAGATATGAGGGTTTCAATTGTTTATTTTCTCACCAATATTTGTTTTAGTTTCTCTTTTTTCACTCTGATATGTGTTAAGGGATATCTCATTGTGGTTTTGACTTCCATCTAATGACTGATGATGACCATCTTTTCCTGTGCTTATTGGCCATTTTGCATATCTTCTTTGGAGAAATGTCTACTCAAAAATCTTTGCCCATTGTTTAATTGGGTTATTTGTTTATTATAGAGTTGTAAACTTTAAAAAGTAAATTCTGGATATCTATTCTTCATCAGACGCATGATTAGCAAATATTTTTTCCCAGCCTGTGAGTTGTCTTTTCGCTTTATTGATAGTATCCTTTGAGACACAGAAGTTTTTAACTTTAATAAAGTCACATTTATCTTGATTCTTTTTGATGTTTGTGCTATTGGTGTTATATGTAA